ATCCTCTGGAAATCTCTCTCTCTCTCTCTCTCTCTCTCTCTCTCTCTCTCTCTCTCAACCCAACCAATATTTCAAAAATAATATTATTTACTTTATACAAAACCTTGATTAAAACGTTAACGATAAAAAAATCACATGCATTATTTATATGTCAATTTCAAGCCTTGTGAGTGACAACCTTTGGATTTTTCTTCTTTTTGTACATGTATTCTGTAAAATGATTCTTGATCACAATTCTCGAACCAGTCGCGAAGGACAAATATATAACTTATATGCAATCACACCACTAGCTATTTTGGTGGATTAGGGTTTGTATTTAAGACTTTTAAGTGGAAAAAAATGAACCCTCAAAGTGCAATATAATCGCAATCTTGTTCAGGTGGTTTAGCGACACTTTATCTTCTCATAATTTGAGAAGGTTTTAAGTTGAGCTCTCTTTATAATTTGTGGTATATTGTCGTTTTTTGCGGCTTGTTTGTTATAAATGCATCTTGTAGGATGACTGATACATTATACAGGCTGTGACTACAAGTTATTCGATTACTAAATTTTCACGTTATAAGAGTCTCTTTTAATTAGCTGTCGGTGGTCATTTATAAACGCAAAGTAATTTTAACTAGCACATTTTTACCAAACTAATGTGTTCAAAACTTCAAATATAAGAAAATAGGTAATGTTAAAGAGACCAGCTATTTAGACTAAATTTTGTAAAGTATATGATATGGTTGTTGATGATTAGATCATTACTTAAAATACGATCAACAAGTTTATTTATTATTGGTGACACATCGTATAATTTACGAATTTAATTTAAAATTTTAGCCTACGTAGCATTATTCTATAAAACTTCCAAATTACTCTTTTCACTGTAACTTTTGGATGTTATTTATATATGTCATATTGTTTATTTTAATTTTAAAATAAGTAGTGGTGCAATACCAATTTTTCTGAATTATTGTGAAAATGAAGTTGTAATACAAAATCGTAAGTAGTTGTCAACCAGAAACACAATTACTTTTAGGACGTGTATTAGATTAGACAAAACAATATTAAAACCAATAAATTAGTATGAATCCAAGCCTGTGGGCTCACACGGGGCACCAAATAATTTGATTAGTCGACCAGACACTGCTTTTGGGTATTTTGTGACGCAACCAGATGTACAGTTGCTAATTCAGGGTTCATTTAGAAGTAAAATTAAAATGGTTAATACCGCTTCCTATAGGATATTTTTTTAAACAAATTCTTAGTAAAGTACTTTTAAATCTAAAATTATTTTTACTAAAAATATTTTAAATTATTTTAAAAGTACGTTCAAACAAATTCTCCGTACACAGTAACAAGAGGAGGTCACTTAAGTTACAAAAGTAAACAAAAGATTGCAAAATCTAGTTAAAAGCTAAATTACGCAATTGTTAATCAATTAAATTAGGATTTAATATGTAATAATTGGAAAAGGAAGGGAAAAGGGGGAAAGATGGTTTGATTAGGGTAAAGAAAGTGGATGAGACGGCCACTAATTAAGTATTAGCATTAGGATTATATAGTTTGTCAATGTTTTGCCTTTTCACAGCCTCCTTTTAGGCCGGCGGCTTTGGTCGCAAAAATATTATATAATTTTATATATCAATATAGGTAGCCTATGATGGTGCTTGTGTCCCTCAGACTCAGGTCCACATGACTCAAATGTGCAAAACGTATTGTCGTTTTCATGTGTAGCGCAAGCAAACTAGCTACCAACTTGGTCTTTTATTTTTATTTTATTTTATTTTAAGAGAATCAGTTAGACCTTTCGTCACAGCAGTCATTCTTCCACGAGATGAGAAGACTCACAAAAGTAGTTTAGTATCGTCTTAGCCACTATCGTGCGATTCATCAACGTTAGAAATCGAATCCAGAATGTACCGTGCGAAATATGAGTCTGGAATTCGTTCTCAACAAATGGATCACTCTGTGGTGGTTATCTCCTTGGTCTTTTTTAATTATCGTTAAATTGTGAGATCATAGAAAATTTATGAAGAATTCCACTTTGAAAGAGTTTCCTTAGTATTTCTCTAATTTGAATTACCATTTCAACCATGTCTTATTGTACCCAAAGAGTAATAAGTGGGTGAAATCCATCAAACGTGATAATATCAAGGCACTCAGCGTGTACTATTTGCCAATAATTTGTCCACGTTAAGTATTGATTTCATCAGCTCTAAAAATTAGTAACACTACCCAATATTGCCTTTGCATTCAAATATAATTTTCATACTCGAGCCCCCTTGACAATCAAGAATTCTCCGTTATGTTAAATATTAGTGGATAAAATCTTTAATTGCATGGAATATACAAGTCGGGTTTAGGGTTAGGGTTACAGAGAAGAAGACAGCGAATAAAATAAGAGGGGGAAAGAAGGAAGAAGACCGAATACAACACGCAAAGGAGCTGCAGGTGCAGGTGGAGCAGCAGACTTGAATTGCTTTTACAGAGATATTTCACCCAATTCCAACGTCACCACTCGCCATCATCACCACTCAGCACACATGCACATCAGCTGCTCCCTCCTGCAACTTCTGCAGAATCTGTACGTTGCATCTGCTGCCACCCTCTGCCGCGTGGGTACACCTACCCCCGGCCGTCACTTCATAGACTGACCGATTTGACCCTCCCCAGTTGGTCCCCACATCCCTTTCTGTGCCTCCCCTCTTCCCCTCTTCCCTTTTCTCTCTTTTGCCCTTTTTATTATGGCGGGAAGCCACTTCCCCCGCGTACGTGTCGGCTTCTCTGCGCGCGCAGTGGCTGGCGTTCAAACTGTGGCGGGTCCCCGGACCAGTCGAATCTTGTCGGAACCAGGGGCGTCACGGCCGTCTCTCCAACGTTTGGTTTTGCTTTTTATTACGTTGCGCAGCCCACACCACATTCTTAATAAATCGATATATTTAAAAAAAAAAAAAAAAACAACAACAACAAAAGTTGAGTTATGCTTTTGATTTTCTATTTAGATTTTTTAGTTAAAATGATTTTTGAGATTTGTACAACTCTTCAGGTGCTTGAGATTTGAAATCAATAGAATTAATCTCTGAGTATGTCCACCATCAATCATTTTAGTTATTTCTTAAAAAAATCTCTATTAAATAAGAATATAATGATCAAAATATCACAATTTTTGTCAAATTATTCTGGCACATTGTTTATTAAATTGAGCGTATATTTATCTTTTTGGTCCTTATTTAACATAATTTTGTAAGGTAAGATCAAAATGATTGATGATGGACAATCTTAGGGATTGTTTCTATTGATTTCAAATCTCAATAACCAAAATAATGTGTTATGCAAATCTCATGGATCATTTTAGCTAAAAAGTCTTCTGTTTATTATGTTGTCATACTGTAATTTAGTATAAAAATACTTTTTATGATTTAATGTTTTGATTTGCAATTTTACCTTTTTTTTGTCAAAGATTTATAATTTTACTTGCTGTCATGTATTTGACCGCTAAAATATATTTACGAATTATATAATATTATATGAAAAATCTCTTATATGAAATATTTGCCTGGTTATATATAAATTTATATTTTCAAACAAATCAAGACGTATTTACATAATTATATATTTTTTGTGAGTCACTTTGGTACATATGATTAAGATATAGCAAGCATAAATAACGACTCACAGTCACAGGTACAAAGGCAAAGCATTGGGACACGACGACGCTATATTTTATGTGACACGTGTGCCCGTTATAAGAAATGACATGAAAATACATTACGATCATGGAGAGATTTTTCATTGTGATTGGTACACGAGGTGATACTTTACGCATCATTATACAAATCGTGGGATATGTGTGTAAAAAAGTTAATAACTTAAAAAATAAAATTTCCTACTAATTTTATTAATACACGTGGTATACCACTTATTTTATCGTCACAATTAAAAATTTCTCATGATCGTGACGATAACGACCGATGAGCATTATTCATACATGATAATGATGCATTAAGGAGGTTTTTACCGTTTTGATAGGGAGGGTGGTCGACAAAAAATGAAAAAAGAATGAAAAAACCAAATTAATCGCATCACGATGAGTGAAAGATTTTGTCTTTGGCATGTCGTTTTCAATTTCCTTTCTTAAACAAGCTACGAATCCATTTCAAAATTGTCGAGAATAAAAATATTGAGCAAGCAAATACATAAATAGACCAACGATTGACAACTCAAGAAAATTGAAACAAAATATAAGGTGAAAGAAAAAAAAACAAATTGGAAATAAAGAGAGGCTTAGATTAGAATGACGAAACGTATTAAGATTTAACAAAATTGGTCAGAGCCGTATACTACATGTATTGCATTTAAGTTTCAATTTTCATTTGGCTTATTTTTAGTTGTGATACCTAGAACTCCTTTTTAATCTTACTTTGTTCCATATAACTTAAAAATCACCACTTTACTCTTTGAAAGTAAAAACTCACAATCGTTTCATTTTGATTTGTGGACTCTTTCTTCTCTATGAAACTTATAGGTTGCCTCCTAAAACATATGTGAGACCTAATACCCAATAACACTATACCACATGTGCAATAAAGTTGATTATAAATATCCGTTATGCGTTAACATTCAACAAGCAGAGAATATTTAAGTTTAAAATAAATTGAAGAGATGAAAAAAATATAAAAAAGAAATGACTAGCTTGGTGCATCCAAATTAAACCCACATAAGAGATTAACATATCTAAAGGCAATATAGAGCAAATTTTGAGTTTCATAGAAACAACTTTCAAGTTTCATAGGGCAAAATGAGATCATAATCGAGTTTCAAGAAGCAAAATGAAGCTAACTTTGAATTTCAATGAGTAAAGTGATGACTTTTGACTTACAAGGAACAAATTAAGATTAAATTAGAGTTCCATAAAACTTGGCCAAATTTTTTTTTCATAATTTAGATCAATTGAGGGTAATATTTTTTATAAGTTCTAAAACGATGAAAACAGAAAATTACATAGCGAAATAAAATACTTATATAACATAAATACATTGCTAATATAATTTCACGTGCAAAAATACAATATCGTACATAATAACATTTACATATCAGATTGTATCATCGACACAAAACAACAAAACATTACCTTAACGATGCACTCGTATGCTATGAAAGTTGTTCGAAAAGGGAAGGGCACTGAGAGTCCAACCGTGGTGTGCATCACGCGGGGGCAGAGAGTTGCAGAGCGGCGCGTGGCCGTGCCGTTCCAATTAATACCACCACAACAATCCCCGGACGGTGACATTTTATTATTTTTTCTTTCTTTTACCCGATTATTCTGTGGTCCCCATCTCCATGGCTCCGTCCAAGACTCGGTCAGACAATACTGAATGATGTACCTTTATACTTTTTACACACATCTCTCAATTTCAGTACTTAGATCAAATAAATTAAAGAAATTAAAGCATAAAAATAAACAAAATATTTGAAAAAATAATAATAATAAGAGCATGCATAACACTCTAAAATAAAGCTACATACTTTTGAGAATTACCGACGTAGATTGAATTAGGTAATGAATTCACTGTTACGTGACCTTTTTTGGTTCAATAATTTATTATTATATACAATCTTTTATGCGCATGATAATATATTATTGAATCTAAACGTTAAGTGACAGTAAACTTATTTTCATGTGAGTTACTTCTCCGCAAGTGGGGTTCTCTTCCCACTAATCACACTAACTTCTCAATATAATTTTATGATCAAAACCGCTCATTCTATAAAAGGAAAACTAAAGAAAATGGCTTCAAATCTTTACATTTTAATAAAAAATAATCCATAAACTTTATTTAATAATAAAGACAAAAAAACTAATAAAAATTCTCAATTGATCTACACACTGGATCACCAGGTCTGATCAATACCAAGTCAATGAGTCAATGCAAAAGGGAGAAAGGAAATTATGCTTTATGTGTTTTCACGTCGTCTTCAAGGAAATTTCGGTGTGAAAAGGAATGCACATATGAGTGGGTACAATAAAAGAGAATTTAAGAAAATAAATTATGCTTTATGTGCTTTCACATCTTCCCGTTGAGGCAAATGTGTGGGTACCAGAAAAGAAACAAAGAAGTCTTGTTCTTTGATTTAATATATTTATGTGAAAAGAAGTTTCATAAACAGTGTCATAAGTTTTATAAACAGTGTACCTTGAATCAGCGTGTCAGATTTTTTGTCATTTTTATTAAAATTATATCATTTTCATTAAAATTTAAGTCTTTTTAATTAAATAAAGTTATAGCATAATTTTTTATTAAAATAAACTTAGTCCAAACCCTTTTCATCAAAGTTCCCTTCTATAAATCCTTAATTATTCACAAAACATTCAATGTTCATGTGTTTGTTAACGAAGCATTATTAAACGATGAAACGTTTCTCGACACGAGTAAATTTTTCACGCGACGAACATTGAACAATGACAAAAAAAAATGTGTTCACCGATGCAAAACATTGGGACGTAGATTCAAGTGAGTGGTTAGCGCCCTATTAACTTACTAAACAATTATTGTATAAGCTAAGTTAATTTTTTATCTGTTGGACGGCAGAAGACCTAAAATTAAGCATGCTCATGTATCCAATAAGAAGCCAGGATGTTTCTCTATCCAAAGGAACACCGTCCACCCACATCTGTAATTAAATAATTATATCTAATAAGCGCAAAACAAGAGTAAAACTACGTACGATTGACTTTTCCCCCTCGGCCCCAGCCCTTGCAACACTTCAGTGAGATGGGTGGAAAGGAGAAGAAACCAAAATGGGCCCCAGAAAAATTATACCTATCATTCTAATGAATATGAAGGGATCAGATCATTGGGGCACATTGGTTTTTTTAAAATGGCTAGCCGAAGGCCAAAGCGAGAGAAATTTTTGCGAGTGAATGACCAGACCACGTGGCTGTTAGACCGCACACACACAAAATACGTAGAGTATTTTGGTCCTACCATGAGTACCATCCCATGTTTCTTCCCAAATATTGACAAAGCAAAGCTTCTAGTAGGAGAGCTCTAACTTTTCATGTGCTCCAAAGGTTTTCGGAAAATTGCATCTTCAATCCTGATGCTACAAAAGGCTCTCACTTGTGTAGGGTGTTTAGGTTCTCATAAACCGTGTATACGCTCGAACTAGTTGTTCATAATCACAATTCTCAAAACCAGCCGCGAAAGACAAATTTATAACATCGATCGATGGATTGACTTGATGGATAGGGTTGGTAATTAAGACATTTAGTTGGAAACAAAAAATAAAAACTCACCTGAAAGTGTAATACAGAATTCAGAACTCTTGATATTGTCTGTAATGATTATAACTGTAGCATCCACCTCTTATTATTTGTATAAGTGTTGAACTTTGCTAGGGATTTTCTCCATCACTTGAACCAAGACGAGCGTCCAAGTTGAATTCCTCAGCTACATCCTCCACTATCCTCCATCTGTTATTGAAACAGGCACATTTAGTTCAATAGAAACCGTAAATAGAGACAAAAGTAAAAGACAGCAAGTACCTTTCGAGCACAAACTTTCCTTCCTTGTATTTTTGGTTTTTTTCGTGTGCAATTACCTAATAAAATTCACCGTCAGTATTGCATAAGATTGTTTTGTGTTCAAAATAAAGGTGTTCAGTCCACAAATAGCACTTTAATAACATTGATCAACTGCTATACGTAAACTTTGCCACAAATAATCTCACTAATTCAAAAGTAGAGGGTCCACGTCTAAATGTAAATGATTGCACAGACGTAGAGTGCATTTCGAGTACTTGATTCAAAAAAATATAGGTTACCTAAACGTGACTCTCTAGTCCTGCTCCTACCTACTCGTGCTAACAACAAATTGGAAAACATTCAAGCAGAGACATGAAAAAGGCATACATATTTCCAGCCAAGAATCTGTCCGCAGCAGCAACAAAAAATATCTTCCACAGTATGCAAACCAGAGTACATTAGCCTATCTTCCTCAGGACCGAGCGTTATGTTCACCCTGGATAATTTTCATAGGTCAGATGAGAAGAATGAGGATGCAGGTAAAGCCAATCCACATTTACCCATGGCATTTGAAGATAATATAACATTGTTATTTTTATGAGAACAAATACGACAGCATCAAATTTATATTATTGTGACCAAAAGGTTGAGAATGCCTGTGTCCTCCTCCAACTACTGCTTAACGTATGAGGAATTTTAACGATCAGCAAACCTACAATATAGAGAGGAGACTGATTCCTATGAAAAATTGACAATATGGCTAGTCAAGAATTAATTAGTTCACTATAAGGATATTTGTTCATTGTCTGGCAATATGTCAGCCAGAAAACGACATGACAAATACGAAAGGCAACTAAAAGCAAAGGCTATAATAGCAAAGAACTTACACATTGCTGAACAGATATGCCCTTCCTTGATGGCTGTTGAAAGACTAATCAAAAAAAGCAACAACGAAAATAAACATCTCAAAATAATGAGAATAAGCTCCATGACATATAACAGAATAAAAATTGAACACGGTTCTATATATTCTTCGAAAAGGAAAACATTACTAAGATCCATGTCTAATGTATCACACTTGTCACTCTTCACAACAACAAAACTTAATAGCTTGGCCGCAGTCTAGTTGCGAAATGTTTAGTTTCTCCACGAATCTATGTGTGTATACATTCCAGTCGTTACCATGGCACTAAGTGGTTTTCTCCTCCCAATTGACCCGGAGTTTTTAAGCTTTTACAATCTGTAATATGCCGAGAAAGTGTTTATTAATTCGGTAGGTGCGTGTGATGTCATGCACTGGGGCCAACACCATTGACAGCGCTCAAAGGCGAAAGCAAAACACTCTTAGATCTTGACTCTGCAGCTGTTGCTGTTCCTTTGATTGGTTCTGTGCAGTTTATTGGTTCTTCGGTTTTTTTCCTTTTACATGTGTCCATTCTCGCTTCACAAAGCTTCTTCACCAAGAAATACCACATATCCTCTAACGAACGCCCTAATCCCAATTCCCAATCCAGAAAAAAAATGCCTACATATAATCTAGTCCATGCAGGACCTGAAAACCCCAATTCACTTATGCAGGACCTGAAAACCCCAATTCACTTATGCAGGACCTGAAAACCCCAATTCACTTATGCAGGACCCGAAACCCCAACTTCTAAAACCCTTTTCCTAAAATCAATACAAACCCATTTCAAATTCCCTCAAAAGGAAACAAATTCTCAACCTTTTTCTCCATTCCATCACAAACTAATCCTATTTTACTGGTAATCATGCTTATATCATTCCAAAAAACCTCATCATGTATAAAAAGATGCAAACTTTAGGGGAAAGAAATAGGGAGAGAGAGTACCCGAGAGAGGACATCGTCGGCAAGGGCAAGAGCGCTGTCACAGAATCTGCATCTGTAAGTTCTGCCGTCCAATTCAATCAGAAAAATTCTCCCCATTTGAAATTTTGACCTAATTCCAACATAAACCCTAACCTTATCAATCTAACAGTCACTGTCCTCAACCCCAATTTTTCGCTACCAATAATTCTACCATTTCAGCCCCCAATTTTGAACTCGCTCTCTTTTTTTACTCACACAATCAAAATCCCAATTCCAATTTCGCAAACTGGGTGTGCTCTGTTGCTGCGCCACTTTGACTCCTCTCCCACCGCCACCGGAAAGTCCCGGTGCATTCAATCTTTTTCTTTCGCATCCTGCTGTTTCAGTCACGTGGTGGCGCGTTCGTTAGTCGGTACACATGCAATCAGGCGACGTGTCGTTCTTTGGTCCACCTCTTCTCAAAAATAGTTTTTTTTTCCTAATTAAAATCAAATTGTAACAAATAATAAAGCAAATCCTATCGTTTGGTAACAATCATCTCACAAATAAGATGGGCGACCAAGGAGAAAAAAGATCTCTTCGTATGTTTTCCACCGAAGCCATCAAATCAAATGATTCAAACTTTTGAAATTTAATCAAACGGTTAAAAATTATTATAAATTTTAAAAGTTTTCAATAACTTCTATGTTTTTTGTTGTTTGATCAAATTTCAAGAATCCAAATCACTTAATTTGGTCGCTTTGGAGGAAGAGATCCGAAGAGATGATCTGTTTTCGACTTAGAAAAGAAATGATCTTTTTTTGTCCCATGCACCAATTTGTAACAAAACACGACATCTCATTTTGTCTTTCTAGGATTTAGTTGTTCACATTCGCATAAATGATTATTTGTGCGTCAGTATATATCATAATTAACGATGAAAGTGGAAAAACAAAAAGGAAAACTAATGAGAAATATTTGAAAACTTCGAGTTTTAACGATAAGGACAAAATAAATAATATCATAATTAGTTGTTCACATTCGCATAAATGATTACTTGTGCGTCAGTATATATCATAATTAACGAGGAAAGTGGAAAAACAAAAAGGAAAACTAATAAGAAATGTTTGAAAACTTTGAGTTTTAACGATAAGGACAAAATAAATAGTATCATAATTAACCTTTTAGTATAAAAATATGATTTTTCGTTAAAGTAAATAGTATCGAAAACTTTTCGTTAAAGTTCCCAAAACAAAATTAGAAACATTAGGATAGACGATGAATTCAATCTGGTTTTGTCTTTTTATTTTTAATTACACAATCAGCAAAAAAAAAAATCAAGTACCAAATGCCCTTTTTTGATCGGAAGGTGAATACAAGTGTCAAAAATAATTGATTAGAAATTCAAAAAATAAAAATAAAAACTTTCAACTAATTATTTTGTGACGCATAATATACTGAGTTGTTTGTTGTACGCTAAAACATGTGATCTCTCACACACACCTAACCAAAGTTTATTTGGTAATACATTATTATTTATTATATGGTTTGTGGTCAAATCATGTCTCACACCGGATTTAAATATTTTTTATTTTTTTCAATGACAAGAATTAGTCCATGCGATTGTAACGGCTAAGTGTCACGACACCATTGATCCATTTACCTTAAACATCTTCTAATGATTTTTATTCTAATTTTATAGTATAATAACTGTATAATTCCAAATCATGATCAAATATCATAGATATAGCCTACGGGTGGGGTTATTCATATATTATTTTTACTTTTCATATATTTTTTTTTATTTTTGAACTTAAGATTGAATAAATAGAAAAAAAAATCAAATGACAAAAATTAATAAAAAAGTGTGTAAAAGTATAAAAAAATGTGTGTGAATAACACGACGCTAACCTATTCCTTCCGATGTGGGTTCCATCATCCATGGTAGTATTATTACAGCTATTGCTCAACAATTGGATACCAGATAGAATGATAGGGATTTGATTACAACCTCCTAACAACATTCAATATGATGGTGTTTTTCTTTCTTTTGTAAATAATTTTGTGCAATTTGTAACTAGTCAAGAATCGTCATATATCATTGAGATATCAGTATTTTTTTTTCGCAAAATGTGGTTGGCTATCAAATTCTTAAAATATTAATATTATATAATAGAAAGAGGAGCACAACTCATTATAATTTAAACCGAGTGCCATAAAACACATGTAATCGTTGATTTTTATATGTGGGCTAACCTAACTCTGATACCATTATAAAAGTTGATATAATTTGAAATAATTGGGACAAATGTCCCAACTCCTTGTAAGTTTGCTGATGATGAACATTTTCTTGACATCAAAGTACGTGATGTTGCACATACGCTCAAATTTGAAAAGAAATTTAACAAGTGGATACGATACACGTTCATATAGTTGATTGATGTACCTAAAGGGACTTTGAGCAGACACATTAGTTGGTAAACAAAACAAAATAAATGCTTGACAACGAAATCTCAACCCTAAACTCCCACAAACAGTTATCCAAATCAATAACCATTCAACAAAGCTAAAGCCAAATACGAATGACATTGACAATGTCAATAACGCGTCGTGGGAAATGCATGCGGCAGCCTTCAATTCGAAATCCAGCTAATCAGCTAAGGTCCAGGACTGGAAAGACTCACATAGACATTTTAGCCATCCCATGACCATAAGTCTGGTTTCCACACTAGCAGCGAGTTTCGAACCCAAGACCTCCAATTTTTAATTTGAAGGAAATCTCGCAATTCGTCATTGACTACTAGGTCACCAGCTCGTGGTTAACGTAAATAATTGATAACTTTGGTGGGAAATGGAGAAAAGGGGATTGCAATTTCACAAGTTGGGCCCCAATACGCATATGTAAGGATTATGGGGATCTTCCAATCATATCCGTTCATTGTACATCATGCGGTCAGTTTTCGTCATATACTGTTTATATTCAATTTTAAATAAAAAAATTTATAATGATTTCTGACCGTACAATGTACAATGAATAAATGTGATTTGAGAATTCTGAGATCCTCACAAATGGATCCAATGAGATCCTCACTCATGTAAGAGTGCGAGAGAGTCTTTTTTTTATTCTCCAAACTCCAAAGCGCCACACAACTCTTTATTCCTTGTCACAACCACAAGTGTATTAAAGGATGATACTACATCGGCTTTTTTACCCAACGAATTTTGACCGTCTGATGAACATTAATCATCGGCTGACTGGTTGCAGACTATAATATTGGCCAAATATTAAAACTCCCGAGTTGCCCGACTGGGTCAATTTCCCGAGCATCTTTCAGCCAATGGGTTGTTGAATGGCTAAAAAAGCTTATTAGATCTGGTACGAAAAGAAAGAATATAAGAGAGAAAAGGGAATTCACCGCCAGTGAAGTAAAAATCCAGCGACTAATTAAATAAATAAACCTTCATCTCGTCGGTCGTTGATATAATTTGAGTAAAATAATAATATTATGTAACTCTGTTTCCGTTGCATCGAAAACTTTTGTTTCAGTAAATTCATATTGAGAAGTAATAAGAAAAAGGAGTGAGCGGGAGGTGTCACCTCAGGAGGCAACAAGGAAAAAGCCATAAGCAGCCGCCCGCACCTATATTTTATTCTTTCTTTCTTTTTTATTAAACGTATATTCTATTCTATTCATTTATCTAATTGCCTGACGGTTGCTTTTATTATTATTTTTTTTTTTTTCTGGCTTTCTTTTCAACACGGACGCGAAACGTGGCCCGTCGCGAGACGTCCCAGTCTCTCTCCTTCTGTTGGCCGGACGAGACCGCGGGGCCCACACGCGGCAACAGCTTTCAACTAAAACATGCCGCCCCCCGCTTAACTGTCTGTCACTTCCCGACACGTCACCACTCTGCGCCGTACTCCATTACTTTCTCTTATTATATTTTTTATATAATATTATCTTAATTCTCGTTGCTTCTCCGTTGCTACCTTAAATTATCGTAAATTTTAATCCATTGAATTAAATATAAATTGCGGTATCAACGTATTGATTGATTTAAATACACGCATGCTCTAACATTGAATTGCACGTATCTCTAAATCTATGCATTGAACCAAAGATATTTACATTATGTTGGTTCACGATCAGATACATAAAGTTTAACATTGAATTGCACATATCTCTAAAATCTATGCATTGAATTGAACCAGAGATATTACATTATGTCAGTTCAAGATCTGATACATAAAATTTAATAATATAATTATTTAAAATTTAAAAAAAAAATTCAACTAATTATATGACAACAGTTAATTTACCGGACCGTCTTTTCAACATGAAAAATCTCTCAGAGTTGATTGCATCATCTATTATTCGGCTCGAAAGCTGACGTCGTTCACTCGACAGGAGCATGTTTTCCGGAATTTCGAATCGAAGTTGAAGTGTTGTCCAAATATTATTTTTCAGCCATTATCTTATCAAAATATTCTTCAGCAAAAGGACGGTGGGCTCCACTAAAAGCGGCAGCCGCGCTTTCCCACTTTCGCTCGCAGCGCCCGCCACCACGTGGGCCCCGACTCTGTCCGCTTCTTTCCTCCCACCTGTTTCTCGTTGCTAAGCAAAACCATTTAATTAATTTCCCCAAAAGATAAATATAAAACAATAAATGGTACTTAAGATCGGACGGCCGTATATCACGTGCCATCCAAACACGAATCTCGAGAGCTACCCAGTCAACGTGGAACTAACTTTCGGTCTGAAACACCCTCCGAAACCGGCTTGCTACCCTTACGCGCCCTCTAACCACTGCTCCCACGCGCCTATAATATTTTTTTTTTGCCCTTTAATCCCAACATTTCTCTAAAAATCAGAAGGTGGGGGACAAAAGCGGAATTATACAAAGCACTCGGTTTTCACTCGTTCGAGTCAAGTAATGGCCGCCGACGCTTGGGGCAAAAGACGTAGCCACGCGGCATCGAGTTAGGACACCAATTATGATGGGCAACGCTATCGTTAACCACAGGAATCATCAAATTTCGTGCTATTTTATATTAATAGCCGGCTGAAATTAAATTACAAAAAAAAAAAAAAAAAAAAAACCTTCACAAATCTTGAAAATATACCCTGATAAAATTAACGAAACTTCCTATTGCGCAATGGCTTGTAGCGTTTGATGATCGTTAAATCCCGTCGTTATTAAATAGAATACGAAACTGATTATAAATGTGATAAAGAGCGTTAGATCGTCCGGTCAGAATATCATATTCGTAGAGCAAAGGAAACAATTACGGTAATGATTAAACTAAAATATAATAGATTATGGAAATTCAGAAATTAACAGTTAATTATTTCTTAAACGAGAGATTACACCTGAAAATTGATATCGAAAAAAAAAGTCACAACAGAATGAAACACGGTGGAGTTTCGCTGCTGGAAAAAAAGGATGATGATCCGATCAACTACGTATTTACATGGAGCTTCTTTAATTGGTTTCTCTTTTCATGTAATTTTTTTTCTTTTTCTATCTTAGAAATTAGAAAATTATAAAATTAATAAAAGGAAACTGAAATTGAAGATTCCCTATTAACTCGTGCCGTCGCCGCGCGCTTCTCGAAAACCAAAATCAAGCGAGGTCCGGTGGTGGAGGGAGGTTAAGATCGAACCCTCCGCCGCCGCGAGGAAGATCGTTCTGGTTCAGATCGACCACCGAGGACGAGTCCGAGTCGCTCTGGGCCCCGCCGGCAGCGTGGAAATCGGGCTGGTGGAAGTTGGGGTGATCGAATCTCATGCGTGGATGAAACTGGTGATTCTTCATCGCGCCGGCTCTGAAAACCGAGTCCAAATAGAGCACCTGCTTCGCGGCCGCCGCGGCGGAAGACGGAACTCCGATGACAGCTCCGAATCCCGGAACCTGATGGTGCTGGAAGGGGAACCTCATCGGCGCGGAGCTGACACCGTGAGCGAGATTTAGATCCAACGGCGAAGAATCGACCATGAGGGCCGGCGGCTCACGGCTGGAGGACTCCACCGTGCTGCTCTGACTCGGGCTCTGATTGTTGCTTCCGCTACTAATTTTATTATTATTATTTTTTGTAACATTCAGGGTAACATTTTCCGAAGGCTGAGGGAAGTTGGTCTTGGCCTTGGCACCGCGGAACTCTATGGCGGCGGCGTCGTAGGCCCGGGCGGCTTCCTCCGCCGTATCGAAGGTTCCGAGCCAGACCCGGCTCTTCTTGCCGGGATCTCTGATCTCGGCGGCGTACCTCCCCCACGGCCTCTTCCTCACACCTCTAAAATGCACCTCCTTCACGTTTCCGTTACCGTTCATCCTAACGGCGGCGGTGGCCGTCTTCTCTCTCGGCGCCATAACTAAACGGTGGCGTTTTGTGTATGTAGTGTTTGGGTGGAAAGAGTGTTTGGCTGCAGAAAATATGTGAGAGAAACGGGTGTGGAGATGGCGATGGAGGACTAGGAGGCAGGCTGTGGGTTTTATATAGAAATGATGAGCGAGGAATTGAAGAGAGAGAAAGAGAGAGGAGAGAGAGAGAGAGAGAGAGAGAGGCGCACAGTCAACAAGGGATTTGACTGAGATGGGATTAGGGAGGGGCGGCTCTCCATCGGTGGCAATTTAGTAATTGTGCAATGTTCGTTTCCGTATTACGTGGCATGTGTGCGTTGTCGAGAGAGCACACCCATCATTTTTATCATCATCTGACGGCTGCGAATGCACTCTTTGATTGCGTGCGGTGATCCTTTCCTCCCATCTCCCACGCTCCACTCCGTGTATCGTTTCGATTCGCCGTTTATTGTTGAGTCAATATTAAAGAATATTTTACATAGCCTGATTATAATCACGTTTGAAAATGATTTTACAATGACCGTAAATATTTTTAGAGAATTTTGTTTATGTTTTAAAAATATTTTTTGAAATAAGCACTAGTTATATGCTATTTGTAGAAAGCATTTCAAGTACTTTTCTATGATTCATTGTATTTTTACTCAAAACTGTTTAAAAATCATTTTCACAAAATGCGTTTTCAGCCATTTTAAAAGTTGTTCCAAATGAGCCCTATATTGTTATGTAACGTTATGTTTCAATGAAACAATAACATTTGAATATAATGTTTTCAAAATCATTTATTTTATTATTAATTAAATGTTACTACGGTGATATACTCCAGCCATATAAATCATTCCCCAAAATTAAAAAGTGGCAAGAGAAGATGTTTCATTCACACATTTATTTTCTTCTTAAGCACTAGTGTTTGTTTTTAACTTTGAATTTATTGAAGAAGGATAAAAAGTAGAAGTGTTAAAAAACTATTCACGGTTGAATGTCCCAAAAAGGTATTTTATCGAGATCTATGTAAGCACATTTTCTTTTGAGATTGTATGTTATCGTTTTCAAATTAATGCATAAAAAAAAACTCTTTACGATTGAAAATTTCAAACATGAACGTTAAACGAATCGTAAACTCAACAAATTAAGGATTAATGTGTGTGATGAACACATTCAAACACAATTAACATTGTAGACTAATTTTACTAAATAATATGGGTAATTTATTTTAGTTCATGATCAATTATATGAATATTATATTATTTCTTTAATATCAATTTCCTAAATAGATCGACTAACAATCCATAGTTTGATACAAATATACATAAGAGCGCAACCTCTTTCTACCTCGTCAACGTATTTGGGCAACATAAACCATTTTAACAAGTTGTCGACATAAACTCATATCATATCATGCCGCGTTAACTTTTATTTTCAATTTTTTTAATTCTTAATGTAATTTTTAATTTGTTGCCTTAACTTTCCTTCTTGGGCCCACGCTTTTACCCTCCCTTTGAACCGATCGCCCTTGGACCAAAAGGGCGCTACCTCTCGGCCAATCCGGATCCAACACGTGTCCTTTTATTACGCGTGTTGCTTGGATGCGGAGGACCCCACGCAACCAGCCCCGCCCAGCGTTTCTTACTACATTTGGGAGTGGTTTCTGAGAGCGGTATTGTTTTTATCCGACAGCTCCTCCTCCCCACACTCTCTCTGTTATCGTGATCCACACGCGCATAAAATATTTACTGTCTTTCTAGATTCTATCCCCGCGTTCGTCAGCGTGCTGTTTTAAGCAAATGCTCATAAATCGGTGCTTTTTTATTGTCTATTTCAATTAGCCTTGTCTATTTTTTTTAGAAAAAACTTGTGTAGGGTCGACTTGCCATTAAAATTTGTTGGGTGACATTTACAATTCACTCAAAACTCTTCATGTGATAAGTTTTTTTTTTTTTTTTTTTTTTTTTATGAGTACATTGATATTTTTACATTAAGAGGAGGGAGAGTTCGGCTAAGCCATATAATAGCTAGCCTAATTTGGCATCAAATTCGCCATCCATGAAATTCGAACCAAAGACCTCGAACTTTCAAATGAAGAGGAATATCACTATACTATAGTATTGAGTGGCTCCACGTGATTAAGTTTTAAATATGATGTTTATCAATCCGTAACATTCTTCTATTTTAAAATTTTCATAATTATCTTTTTTACTAAGTATGCATCATGAGATTCAGGTATCAGTTCATATCTTTCCTTCTCCTACTCTCTATCCATTTCATAATTATCCCTTTCAAAATTATACATAAGATTGTTATTAGCATTTCAAAAAAAAATTGTATGTCACTCATCTTACTTTAGATAAATAAAATAAAATAAAAAAGATGGAAGGGTACTTAATGACTTTGGTTTGGGATCTGTGGTCCCCAAGTTTATCTCTTATTTATCAAGATTCTAAAAGGCATCGGAGATCTGTTGACCTAACCCCCCACCTCGGCTTAGGTCTTTAATCAAAAGTATTGATTGTTTTGCAGGCGCATTCTCGTCGATACTGAAGACGGCGGAAATCAACCACCACACCTCGTCGGTGGCTACCATCGCTTCTTGCCGCCTGCCGCCAAGCATCCTCTGTATGCCTTCCTCTCTGTTCAAACTAACATACCGTCTCTGGGTTAGGTTAGGTACCAAGGTCATTGTGTGGGGGTATACATACGACATCAAATGGAATCAAATTCACCGACGAATTGAATAAGGAATCAATACAAAGTTGATGCTTGATCTCCAACTGAATATGATTGAAGGGAACCAGACTTTGCTTTCACTGCTCAATATTTAATACTTGCAGGCGGTAGATGTCGGCAGTGAAAGAGAGAAGCAGTCTTGCGGTGGCGAGGAGGAGGGGAGTACCCGCCAATGGTGGGGCATTTGGGTCTGCGCTGCTTCGTTCTTTTCCTCCAGTATGTTATCAATTTGTTATTTTTTAATTTTAAAACAAAATAATAAAACTTAACACTATTAACTTTCGTATACGGTAGGACAACTACCAAGTAGTGGTAGACATATAAGAGACAAATCCGAGACACAAACTTCGGAACAACAGATCTTTGGCCAAGATTTTCTCAACTCTTATGCATAACAAATTTTACATGCCATGTCATGTATTATTTGTTGAGTTTCGTGTTCATTTGAATCACGGTCTTTATTAATTATATATGACTCGTATATATAGTTAGGGTATGGTGGTTGCTATCTTATCAAGTAGCACGTAGTATTCATGCATGATTCGTCTATATTATGCACGTAGAAATTGATTAGGACTTGTGAGGTTCATGGAAGGGGAAAAACTGCCTTTTAGTTTATATGTTTAACACATTTTTGTTGCTTAACATTATTCTGCCATTTAGAGCGAATGTCGTTTTATAAATAAAGAAGAGTATCATTAAATCGTAGTACTAAATGAAAAAAAAAAAAAAACAGATTTATGCATAGATTTTTTTCTCTTTTATATTTTGTTTTTATTCCTAATATTAGAATTGAATTAGTCCGAGTATAAAGAGACAACAGCAATAAATAAGATTGTGCAGAAGGAAAAAATGAACGTCAGAAAATTATTTCCCAAACGCGGATTTATCCAGATACATTGTCTCTCTATGTGAGAGTGAGGAGAGGCGGGTGAGGTGTCATATTTGGACCAACCAATCACATTGTCTCTTTCATTTGATGCGTATCACAGCCTTCTCTAGCTTTATATCTCGAAACATGATGATGACGATGAAGAAAATGATGGCGGCTCTATGAGTTTGGCCACAGCCACAATTTTTTTTGTGGACCAAGAAATTGAGAAAACAACCTCTAAGTTTTATTTTATTTTCTTCTTAATTAAAGATGCTATCTTATTTGGACAACTAAATGAAAACTACAATTTATAAAAGATCAAAAAATATATTGTGAAACCAATTGTAAATGTGAGTGAGAGAGATGACGGTTGTTGTTGTCAGTTCTTGGCAGACACAATAATTGCTAACGCGAGTCTTATAGTAGAGGCACATATCAAAACAAAAATCTCACAATAACCTTACTACGTAATCCGGTAGTCTTAATGAGAAAAAATGAGTTAATGCAAGGTGTCAATATTCAAGATAATCATCAATGCGCACATAATGGTATAACCAGCCCATAACAGGTGCCTCATCAAAACTTCATTAGGTTAGCAAAAATCCAATAATAGTACCGGAGGTGGTGATCATGATGGTCATGTCAATGGTGGCAAAAAGACAGTTGGAGGAGATTATGGTACAATGATGATGAGTATGACAAGATGGTGGTAGAAGAAGTGATATGGTGGCGGCAATGGCGTCCGCAGTGGTGATGACGGTACCAACGACAATAACGATGTCGGTAATACAGGATGGCTTTAATTGACACAATATAAGCCTATAATGAGCACATCTAAATTTAAAAGTGAAGCAAAGTCCATCGAACTCATGCACAGTACACTTTCTTGTTTAATTTCCCAAGTGTTTCTTATTTCTTTTTAATTTCTTATCCTTCTTTTCAAATGGCAAAAAGAAATACTCTTTTTTGTGTATGGTTGGACTTAGGAAACAAGAAAGAAGCAACCACCTTATCTTCCACCGCCAACAAAAGAAAAAAAAAAAAAAACACAATCCTAAAAGTTGACATAAAACTTAGATTTTATGTTTCCTAGAGAACAACCACCGGAATATATACTCAACCAAACCACTGCATAATGTACACCTCATAATCTAGGCCGCCAATAATATCCAAATAAAACCATCAAACAATATATTTTGGGGACCCCACCAAGTTTATCAAGCTTTATTGGTTGGATTTTCTTTGGAATCATCTTAAAGTGGGACTTGAGCTTTTTGTTACCTCATACTTTAACGTTAATTTTCTTGTTAATATTACAAAATATTGTCCAAACAATATGAGGTGTTAGAAATTCCGTAGAGAATCCCACTTATTGAAAATCTCCTTAACATATAATATTATGAAAGATAAAGCATATCTTAAAGCGTATAAATTTTGAAGGTGAAACGCATTGTCTAATACGTGGCGTCTTTTATTTGTTGACAAATTGCACTTTCTT